TGTGTATGTTCATTCTCTTTTCGTTTAAATATTCATTCGTTTGAAACTGAAGGCTTCGGATGCGTTGGGGAATGAGTTTATGGTCTTTGTAAGTCTTCGTTCATCGGTTGGTTTATTCAAATTTTTCATTCGTTCGTTTATCCATTTCCCATTCGTTTCCGAGCGGTTCTTCCATGCATGGGTATTTGTTCCCTTCTTCATTAATATCTTCATTTTTAAGGCTGCGGATCTGTTGGGAAATGTCACTGGTTTGGAGCCGAGTTCATACTTCATTCATGGTTCTTTGTGAATTTGTTCATCGGTTAGTTTGTTCATATTCATTTATTTTCGAGTGGTTCTTCCTTGTGTGTGTTTTTTTTCCTTCCTTCTTCATTTCTATCTTCGTTCATGTATAACTCGAGGATACAGATCTCTAGGGGAATGAGTCACTGGTTTAGAGTTGAGGTCGTTCTTCATTCATCGTTCTTTGTGTCTTCGTCCATCAGTTAGTTTCTTCATTTATCATTTCATTCATTTATTTTCAAGCGGTTCTTCCATGTGTGTGTTTTTGTCATTCACGTCTTTATTCATGTATTTGTTTTCTTTCCTTCTTGTTATATGTCTTAATTCGTGTCAAACTGGAGGCTTTGAATCAGTTTTGAAATAAGTAATGGTTAGGAGCAGAGTATACAAGACTATAATGGAAAGTAATATCTTCACAGCTATGTATCGAGTGGTTTTTAATCTAGCGCTGTATTGTTTTCATTCAGATTCATACTTAAAAAAAACTGGCTTAGTCTTCTTGCCTGAAATAACAATGGTATGGTTTGGTTTCTGTGCACTAATGGGATTTTTTTTACTGGGCATTGATGATTTTTGGGGTTACTTATGGGCTTGTTTGTTGGGCATCTAATGATACCATCTGTTGGGCAGTGATTAAACTCTCTGTTGGACACTGTACGGGCCTTTGCTTTGGGCACTGTCTGTTGTGCAGTGATGAGTCTTTTGGGCACTAATGGACCTGTCTGTTGAGCACTAATGAGGCTCTTTCGTGGGCACTGACGAAGCTCTCTCGTGGGCACTGATGAGTCTGTCTTTTGGGAACTAATGGGCTTTTCCTTTGAGCATTGATGGACCTGTCTGTTGGGCAGAGATGAGACTCTCTCTTGGGCACTGATGGGGCTCTCTGTACCTCAGACGTGGACGAGTGCGCGGTGGACAACGGGGGCTGCGAAGGGAAGTGCATCAACAACCTCGGCTCCCATCGCTGCCACTGCCCGCGGGGATTCCGTCTCGGCACCAACGGCAAGGCGTGCATAGGTCAGTCCCTTCCTTTGAGTGATTTGTTTTATATGTAAGCTGTTGTTTTATTCGTGTTTTGCGAATTTGATGAATAGATGAGCGTTTATGTAAATATGTCTGAAAATATACGCTATGATAAACACACAAACAATATAACACATACACACGCACACCCCCCTTTACGCACACACAAACACACACCCATACCTCACTCATACACCCATGCCCCCCCCCCCCAAACACACATACACCCCGACACCCACACACACACACACACACACACACACACACACACACACACACACACACACACACACACACACACACACAACACACACACAATGTCACGCTCCCTGTTCCCTTCAACAGATAAGAACGAGTGTCTCCTTCGCAACGGCCACGGTCCCTGCCAGGATACTTGTGTCAACACGGACGGAGGATACTACTGCACCTGTGAAAGCATGCCAGGTAACTCCTTTGACACCCCTTCAACTTCATTTCAATCTCCCATCAACTCCTTTTCATCTTTCTTGTGCTTCCCCCCATCGCCCCTTCAGTTCCTTTTCGGTTCCTCATCAACTCCTTTTCAACTTTTCTTGTGCTTTCTCCTAACATCTCTTCAACTCCTTTTCCCCTCTCTTTCAATATTTCCTGTTTTCCTTTAACCTTCTTTCAGCTCCAGTTTCGTTGACCTTCAGTGCCTCTTCAGCTTCCTTTCAATTGAACAGAAATGCCCCTTCAACTGCAATTTAACACCTCTTGAACTCTCATTCAACTGCCCTCAAACGAGAATTAAACTTCTTTTTAATTTTCCATCAATTTCCTTGCAATTTCCTTTCAAATGCCCTTTAATTCCACTTCAGCTGCCATCAACTTCAACTTCTCTTTGGTCACTGCTCCGTCAACTCCCCTTCAACTGCAATTCAACTTCCCTGCAATTCCCATTTACCTCCTGCTAAACTGACCTTCAATTTCACTCTTTACCCCACATCTCCCCTTCAATAGAATCTTAACAATTGCATTAACAGATCTGTTTATGCCGTTGATAATGTAAAAAAGAGAAAAAAAAACTATCTATCTATCTATCTATCTATCTATCTATCTATCTATCTATCTATCTATCTATCTATCTATCTATCTATCTATCTATCTATCTATCTATCTATCTATCTATCTATCTATCTATCTATCTATCTATATATATATATATATATATATA